AGTTCAATTTCAATTGAGCAGATACACAAGAAATGTCTAATAAAAATAGTTTACTATGTTAGCAAATACAAGAAACACGAGCTTACAGTCTAACGAGCACTATAATAACAATCTCTTTAATATGGATTCAGATTCGCTAACAATTTCACTTTTCAGTCATTGCTTAAAGTATCATAACCATAACTTGCTATTAGGATATGTTTCATTAGATTAATTATGCCCCCCAGTGGCACAACGGCATATCTGTGGACTTACAATGCCAGAAACCGGGTTTCGATATCCGTAATGGGTAAAGTACAGATAGCCCATTGTGTAGCTTTGTGCTTAATTACAGACAAACATTACGTTAATAACACATATACATACACACAAAAGAAGTAGGACACAAAAACTAACATCTTCCAATGACTGATTATTTTATTTTCCTTTGTATAGTAGGAGTGCTTCTATATCCGGAATTATTTCAACCTCAGTCTAGAAATTGCATCATCTGTGATCTTACTGTTTGCCCTTCATAGTAGCCTAATTACAACGCTTAGATCCATTTTATCTGCAACAAATTAGCTTATGATGAGAAGATAATTACGATTGTTTTCTGAAAATTGATAAAATACAACATCATAATGTCTTTAGAACCTTTTTTTTACGTTCCTTCCTTCCGTACATAAAATTAACCAACAATCCAAAAAAGATAATATATATACCCACTTTTGTTTAACTAAATCTGGTTCTCATTCTTTGCATAAAGCTTTAACAACTGTATTTATAAGTTAGTAATGATAAAAACAAGTATAAGCCCCTTGTTGAAGTTTGGTTTTGGGCTTGTATAATTTTTCCTTTTGTTTGGCCTTTGTTTTATTCTTGTAATTTTCTTTTTCTTTCCAAAATATAGTTTTCAACGGTTTGAACATGTTTCTAATAACATTTCGATACCCGTGGTGGGCAGAGAACAGATAGCCCATTGTGTAGCTTTGTGTTTAACTTCAGAACAAGTAAGCTTGTATTTTGGAGATATTGCATTTAAATAGATATTCACGAAGATATTGTTATGGTCTTAGAATAACATAATGTAAGTTTACTTTAGATATGAAGTGGCGAATTTCAAATGGAGAAATAAAATCATAAACGAGTAAAAATGTAATTTAGGAGGATGCAAAATATATTTGTCTAGGTTATATATTAGGAGGATGCAAAATATATTTGTCTAGGTTATATAACCTGGATAACAATAGCTTGTATTGTTACATGTCTTTAATTCACTTTCATAAGCAAAAATAACAAAATGAGAATTGTGTTTAGAGGCTTATTCGGTTTTGTTTTGAATTTTGCACAAAGCTACACGACGGCTACCTGCGCTACCTAGTCAAAAACATACACCGCCAACTCTTGGGCTACTCTTTTATCAACGAATAGTGGGATTGACCGTAACATTATAACACCCCCACTGCTGAAAGGACGAGCATGTTCGATGACGTTGTGTTTACAGGAACATTTCGTAAGAAGCGATATTATAGTTCAAGTAATATTAATGTGGATTACATGTTAATAAAAATAAAGAACTACAACTACATATTGTCTTTAATGACCATTTGAACTACTATACGTATTTAATAAAGCTATTTGGTGAGAATTATCATATATCCTAAAAAAAAAAAACCAACTGATTTCATTAATTTTAGCTTTTTTATTCCTAGCCATTTAGCAGCGAAATGTAAATAGCTTGTATGTAAGTAAGAACTAAAGAAATAAAAACTACCAATCGTTTTTAGTGTCTCTTCTTTAGCTATCATTCTTAATGAAAACTACCTTTATAAGTGTATGTTTAAGAAATATACTGCTATAGGATAGTAAACACTTAACGGACATGCAATACTCTTTACTAGACACGTGTTAAAGTAATCAGTATATTATGTTAAAGACTTGTAGTAGACACGTGTTAAAGTAATTAGTATATCATGATAAAGACTTGTAGTAGACACGTGTTAAAGTAATTAGTATATCATGATAAAGACTTGTCAAATATTATGTTCTTTTAGCTAATCCTTCTAGATAGGAATTTAATGTTTATTTTATATCTAAATTCGTGAAATATAATAATACCTGAATCAATGTATTGCTGTCCTGCCATACATTACTTATATGTTGATTACTTAAATTGAATTTAATGAACTAACAAGAAAAGAGAAACTGTATTATTTGCCATAAAAGCATTTTATTTCATAGTATATTTGTTTATACTAATAATAAATTAATTCTAATACAATTATCCCATTAACCAATTAAGTAATTTGTTACAAGATCCGTTTTACACGTACCTAAATAAAATCGCCTAATTTGAGCCTATTTGAGTAATAATTTAAAGTGAAAGACATCAACTTATAACTGGCAACAGCTGGTGATAATACAAGTGCGTGGGGTCTCACCATTAATTTACACACACACACACATATATATATATAGTACATTTGCAATCACGAAACAGGATTTATATACGGAGTTAACTTAGAAACATCCAACTCAGTGTTGACATTATACAACAACGACCGCAATCCTATAGTTGTAGAGCTTAAACATTCACCCACGAAGGTATTACTGCTTACACCTTTCTATACGTATTTTCTAAAACGCTACTGCGGTCCTATAGTTCACAGAACACATAATATTTCTAATATTCGATTTCTGTTCTTGAACTCTATCATGTTTGCCAAACAGATGTCTTCGCTCACGTGAAGAAAGGAATTCAAAAGTAACGTGTCTTTCATATAGAACTGTTGAAAGATCTGAAATTCAACGCTGAAGAATATTCTTAGTCAGCACATTAATTTGACAACATAGCACTAAGACCGTAAACTATTTAGAGAGATTAGTATAATGCCCGCTTATAAAGCAAATATCCATCTTTATGTAAACCGTATAATTGGTATTAATTGCACCAAATATAGACATCTTAAATTTTCAATGATTCATGTAGAGTTTTGGATTAGGTAATTGGCTTTTTTATTAATCATTTTTATTATTCATACATATTTTGTGTTTTAGTTTTGTTATTACACTAAAGTTAATATTTGAAACATCTTTAAATCAAAATCCTTCTAAACCAGGATTTTTGCTTCAAACCCAATGCCATAATTTCAGTTTTTGTATTAGTTTAGTAATTAATAGTGCTTAGGAAATGATAATTTATTTTTATTTTTCTATGTTCTACGTAAGAAGCGTATTTTACAGGTTTATCCAAATTGAATACTACTTAATACGAAATACATTAAGTTATATTTGTTTCTGCATTAATATATTTTAAAACATATCCTGCTAACTTTCTTATTTTCTAAAGTCTCTTTCTCTCAATATATAAATATATGTATATATATATATATATATATATAT